TGAGAGAAAGAGACCAAGGGGTGTGTGTGTGTGTGTGTGTGTGTGTGTGTGTGTGTGTGTGCGTGCGTGCGTGCATGTGTGCGCACGCAGTGGGGCAGGGGGTGTTTTAAGAAAAAGAAAGTTTCTGTACCAAAATATCAAATTCCTATTCTCTGCACTTCTCTGAAAATGGACAAGTTATTGGCATTTAAAAAAAGCCAAACCAAAAGAAACACAAACAGGGAAATGAATGAGAACTGGCTCCATAATGCCTTGCACTTTACATTTCTATTCAAAACATAAATCCGCTTTCAATTAAAAAAAAAAGAAAAGTAACACATCACTTAAAAATCAAAGAGGAGGGCTTCCCTGGTGGCGCAGTGGTTGAGAGTCCGCCTGCCGATGCAGGGGACACAGGTTCGTGCCCCGGTCCGGGAAGATCCCACATGCCGCGGAGTGCCTGGGCCCGTGAGCCATGGCCGCTGAGCCTGCGCGCCCGGAGCCTGCGCGTCCGGAGCCTGCGCTCCGCAAAGGGAGAGGCCACAACAGTGAGAGGCCCGCGTACCGCAAAAAAAAAAAAAAAAAAAAATCAAGGAGGAAAACGTTACTTGGAAAGTTGAGGAAGCAATAGCATTTCTTTCTGGCATATTAATTGTCTGGCACAATCACAGGTAAACAGACTTTACGGACATCGTGTGGCTGTTCACATTTAAAGTTTCTCCTCTAAAGTGGTTACTTTCGGGCTAAACAAGTATATCGGTTAAACGAAGTCCGTGAACAGGTTAAGCCAGGCAGGCATGGACACGTGTGATGCATTCTCCGTCCAAAAAATGGAACCTAAAATAAAAATGAAAACTGAGTCAGAGCAGGAGATGTTAAAAAAACAAAAAACAAAAAAAACTTTGTTGAGAAATCTCTTTGAATAATAATAGCTAGTGTTTACTGAGTATTAACTATTCATCAAACAACAGGCTCAGCATTTTTTTAATGTATTATCCTTTTCCATCCTTAAGACCACTCTGTGAAGATGGCAAATACTTTAATTTACCCATTTTACAGACAAGAGACTGAGGCACAGAGAGATTAGGAGCTTGCCCAAGGTCACATATCCAGAACTTGAAGCTTGGCTGGCTGAGGGACCAAGCTTTTAACCAGCAAGCTACACTGCCTTCTACTCGTTCTCATTTTAATTCTTTTTAGAGCGTCCTGTGACTGCAGCTCCTTGAGAAGAACATAACATTATGGGCACAACCACATGTATACAGTGAGCAAATAAAAATTCACTGATAATGAGAAATATATAAATTCATACGTTTGTGCAAATATGTGAGGGAGTTCCCTGGTGGTCTAGCGGTTAGGATTTGGTGCTTTCACTGCTGTGGCCTGGGTTCAATCCCTGCTCAGGGAAGTGAGATTCTGCAAGTCGCACAGCGTGGCCAAAAAGAAAAAAAAATCTATAAAAAAACCCCCAGAAACCATTCCTCCCCACCCCCCCCAAAAAAAGATGTGAGACCAAGTCAAAATTCTGGGTGGGGCAAGGGGATAATAAGAGTAAAATTAGGGAAGGAGGCAAGCTCGATTTGCAGAAATGCAATAAAGCAAACCTGGGCTTAGGGAGAACCAGCAGTGAAAGGTCAGCTTCATTCCAAGAGCCGTTCAATTGCTATTTCTAAGAGCCCTGCTCATGTCTTGGGTGAAGCTGGGTTGAGGAGGGTCAACCAGCAACTGGGGTGGTGGTTCTCTGTGCCGCCGCAAGTGGAGGACCCTCAAAACACGTATGCTTTCTAGAGGCAAAGAGCAAAAACCATTCTTCCCCCTGTAGGGGTGGTGCCCTCTTGAGAACCTGCGTGCTTTGCAAGTGATAGGGAGAAAGTTTAACCCCAGGCCTGGAGGCAATGGATATTCAATGAAATGGGATGGCAAATTACAAGATCCAGGGTAATATGAGAGAGGCCAGCTCTTACAGACTCGTGCCTCCAGGATCCTTCTACACTTTCCACAAGGCACGGAAATGCATCCTTCCCGCCTCCCAACTCAAATGCTTCCTTCGGTATCATTCTAGCATATTTCCTATTCTTTCCACCAAAAGAGGCCGCCCCACACCAGTAACCTGTCCTTAGGAGAAAATCTGAGATGCATCTTCCAGATGCCCTCTAAATCTTTTCTTTATACATCAAACAAAAGGCTGTCTGCAGACAGTGGCAGAACCATTCTAACCTTATTGTTAGCTTGAACTGATTGGATGGACCCAATTCTATGGGTGTCCAACAACGGTCAAGGCTAATTACTCTGGGCATTATCTTTGAGTGCTCCCACGCTCGTGTTCTTCTTACCTCCTTTTTCCTTTTTCTTCTCTTCCTCTTTCTTCTTTCCTGCCTTCCATTTCCAAAATGGTTCTGGAAGGGCCAGGGAGATGGTTGAGATCATAAATACACAGGGAAGAAAGGGAAGCAGTAGGACGGCAGGGGAGGTATGAGGTGAACAGGCAGAGCCATTCCAGTTCCGTTGTCTTTTTGCAAGAGCATTATTTTCAAGGCTCTAATGACAGCGTCTACTCGGGGGCACCTTGGCCATCGGCTCCACGCAGACGCGTGCTAGAATGGTTCTGTCACTGTGTGTGTCGAAAGGCCCACGGAGAGCTGGCTCATTTGTTGCCACCGAGACTATGTCAGAGGAGGTGGAGGCAGCAGGGAT